GTGTGTGAATGTGTGTGTGTATATGTATGTATGTATAAATACTAAAATAATCTACTTGTACTACTATCTCTACTTTGCGGTTTTTCACTTATCTCGGGTCTTCAGGTTACGGATCCCCCGTGATAAACGAGGGATATACTGTATATATATTTTTTTCTGTATATGCCACTCTCAATGCAATTATTCATGTATTTTTTACACACATTCTATTTTTACAATGTCCGACATCAAAATAGAAATTGTGTAACAGGAAAAACTTCAACACGTCTTTCTTTTTCTTCTGTTTTTTTTTTAGTATTATTCATGTAACCTGTCTTGACACCAACTTTCTGGTAACATCTTTGCTGGCATTCTCAGCATGAATACAAATTAATGTTTGATCGTCTGTATGCAAAACTCAGACGGCGATTTGTTTTACTTTAGAAGCTCACAGCATCAGATTTTAAGCACATAAATCCAAATGGAAACGAGCGTCCTGTTCTGTGGCTGCGACATGCTGTGAAGCCTCCAGTTAAAGCCCCACACCTCATTGCATGTGTCCAATTGTCCATGTAGAGCCTCAGCAGTATCATAAGTGATGTGTGTCTGTTCTCTTCACCTCCAGAGCTGCCCTACGGCTGGGAGAAGATTGAGGACCCTCAGTTTGGCACCTACTATGTTGAGTGAGTAAACTCCTTCCTGTTCCTGGGTATACCCAGGGGACTGCAGCTGTGCATCAGGGTTGATGTAGATGAAATGCTGCTCAGAATTCTCTCATTCAGTCCTTTTTATAAAAAGCTTCTCCTGTGTGGATTATTTGCAGCTGCACCTGCCTGATTTCACCTAATGGGACTGAGTTATCTTCTAGTATATGTGGCTTAAAGTTGTATGAAACTATTAAATGAGATGTTCTGGACCACATGATAATGTTTTGTCCTGCTGTTGTCCAAGCAGTTGCTTCCCACCAGCCTACAGAGAGCAATTAAGTGCTCAACTTTTGGGTCAGAGCTTTGTTTGTTTGTGAAAGAAGGGATAGAGTAAAGGCAGCAGACAATGGAGGTCTGGGGGAGCCAGAGAGGGGAACAACAAGGAGATCTCATCTGATCAACAGAGTAAACAAGAGGACAATGTTCCATTTTAATTCCAATTTTTGTGGACAGAGAGAGAGAGGCATGCAGACATGGGGGAATCATCTCCGATTTATGCCGGAGGGTCATTTAGAGGCCTCCCTTCTGACTCTTTTTTTACTCTGGCTAGTTTTTGTTGCGAATGAACAAGATGCTACAACGTGACACAAAGTCCAATTATTTGCACAAAACACAAGTTTGGCACTCAGGGAGTGAGACAGTGAGACAGTGAGAGAGAAGATGAATGAATGAAAGTGGGGAAGTGTTTATCTCCTCAGACCTTATTGGGGGGGTGGGGGGGCATCTCTGTGCATGAGTCATACACAGCAAGAGTGCTTTGTGCTGAATGCACACACAGTGTGTACCATCAGCATCTCATGATTCTCTGTGCAGCGTTAGTGCTTTATCATGCCAAGGTGCCGTCATGACCAGGATTTACGCCTGTTCAAACTCATTATGCAGATGAGCTTCACCCCGTCGCCCACTTTCTCACCATGACGAGACATTCCTCTGAGCAACAGGAGAAGTGTCACCAAACAAAGGTATGACCATGGTTGATGTTAATGAGACAACGTAAAGCTGCTGATCTGAGATCTGCTGGCCTGGAATATGAGCTGCCTCTGGATACAACAAGCTCATGAACATCACTCTACCATGGATTGAAGCTTAGATTTTGGGATTATGACAGTTTGTCTGAACAGTGTGGATCCATCACATTCAGTTCTCTATTTAGCGTCTTTCTATAGTGACACTTCAGGTCATTTCAGGTTACTGTCCAGAAAAAAAGTATGGTAAACATAAAAGGGCCATAAGTAAAGCACAGTCTTGTTGCTTTAATTATGAACGTGTTAAAAATGTGTGTAACATATTTTCTCTCACAGTAGTCAGAGTTTGTCTCGGGTGTTTCAAGCCTTTCTCAAAGCTGTCTAAATTCTTGGTGTGGCTGTGGCTGAGTGGTTAGAGCAGTCGTCCTCCAATCCAAGAGTTGGGGGTTCGAATCCACCAGCAGTCACATGTCGAAGTGTCCCTGGGCAAGACAATGAACCCCTCATTGCCTCTGATGTGTGTCCCATGGGTGTATGAATGTGACAAATCTCTGATTAGTCTCTTTAGAATGATTTGTTCAATTAGCTTTGTAAAGATCTAGTAGAGTGCTGCATGAATGGGTAAATGAGGACACAGGTTGTGTTGCAAAGAGCTTTGAGTATCTTGATCGGTTAGAAAGATGCTAGATAAGTATAGTCCATTTAAATGTAGTTTCTGTTATTTCTGGAAGGCTAAAGCTCTATTTTAACACCTGCACAGGAGCTCTCCTACTGTATGACAAAAACATCCGAGGCTACAATCCTGAATACAGTAGTCCCTCATTTATCGTGGGGGTTTCCATCCCCCCCAATGCGCGCGTACACGCAAAAAGTGAAAAACCACGAAGCAGGAATAATAGTACAAGTAGTAAGTAATAATTAATTTTAGTTGTGTTTGTAAATATATATATATATATATATATATATATATATATATATATATATACAAACCAGATTCCAAAAAAAGTTGGGACACTAAACAGATTGTGAATAAAAACTGAATGCAATGATGTGGAGATGGCAAATGTCAATATTTTAGTCGTAATATAACATGGATGACAGATCAAAAGTTTAATCTGAGTAAATGTAACATTTTAAAGGAAAAATATGTTGATTCAAAATTTCACAGTGTCAACAAATCCCCACAAAGTTGAGACAAGTAGCAACAAGTGGCTGGAAAAAGGAAATTGAGCAAATAACGAGCAGCTGGAAGACCAATTAACACTAATTAGGTCAATTGACAACATGATTGGGTATAAAAAGAGCTTCTCAGAGTGTCAGTGTCTCTCAGAAGCCAAGATGGTAAGAGGATCACCAATTCCACTATTGTTGCTCAGAAAGATAGTGCAGCAATACCAGAATGGTGTTACCCAGCGTAAAATAGCAAAGACTTTTAAGTTATCATCATCAACCGTGCATAACATCATGAAAAGATTCAGAGAATGTGGAACAATCGCTGTGCGTAAGGGTCAAGGCCGTAAAACTCTACTGGATGCTCGTGATCTCCGGGCCCTTAAATGTCACTGCACCTCAAACAGGAATGCCACTGTCAAGGAAATAACAGAATGGGCTCAGGAATACTTCCAGAAAGCATTGTCAGTGAACACAATCCACCGTGCCATCCGCCGTTGCCAGCTGAAACTCTACAGTGCAAAGAGGAAGCCATTTCTAAGCAAGCTCCACAAGCTCAGACGTTTGCACTGGGCCAGGGGTCATTTAAAATGGTGTGGCAAAATGGAAGACTGTTCTGTGGTCAGATGAGTCACGATTTGAAGTTCTTTATGGAACACTGGGACACCATGTCATCCGGACTAGAGAGGACAAGGATAGCCCAAGTTGTTATCAGCGCTCTGTTCAGAAGTCTGCATCACTGATGGCATGGGGTTGCATGAGCGCTTGTGGCATGGGCAGCTTGCATGTCTGGAAAGGCACCATTAATGCAGAGAACTATGTTCATGTTCTAGAACAACATATGCTCCCATCTAGACGTCATCTCTTTCAGGGAAGACCCTGCATTTTTCAACACGATAATGCCAGACCACATTCTGCAGCAATCACAACATCATGGCTACGTAGGAGAAGGATCCGGGTACTGAAATGGCCAGCCTGCAGTCCAGATCTTTCACCTATAGAGAACATTTGGCGCATCATAAAGAGGAAGGTGCGACAAAGAAGGCCCAAGACGATTGAGCAGTTAGAGGCCTGTATTAGACATGGATGGGAGCTCAGCCATCAATCGGCCAATTGTGTGTCATTTCCAATCTTACTTTGAAAAACTGCGAAAGAGCAAATCTGTGAAAGTCGAACCACTAAATAGCAAGGGACTACTGTATTGAAATCTAAAAGCTACACCAATTATAAAAAGAAATTAGTAAAAAGTGGGTCAGATCTTTTTATCTTGGTTTCTTAAGAATACTTAAGCACATTAAATAATTATCATGGGGGTAGTTGCCTAGGTGGGTACAGAGCAGGTAAACTTGAATATGATAATGGTGGAGGTTGGCATTGAACTAGAGTGCACATCCTTGATCACTTTGCTACAAGCCATGCAAACAAATGTTGATTTTTGCATGCACATAAATTTTGCAATTTTTTAAAATTGGCCGTTTGAAACACGTCTGCATGGCTTGCCTTTTGCAAACACAAAAATTAGCGAGGCTGCTTTGCTTTCAGTGCAGCATGTTTGTTGCACAATCACTGCAGTGTAATCTATGTTATTATGATGTATATGTGCTGCTTCAAAACTGCTTCAGTAATGCTGCGGACGGTTTTGACATGAAAGCATGTGTTTAGTAAATCTAGTTGTGCATTTTTAGCTACAAATTACTTTAAATAACATTATTTGATATTCACATAAATCATGGCATTTTGCCACTCTTCCTTCCTTAGTAGAATTTAAAGCCCAGTCTCCCACAATAAAGCAGATTGCATTGCCCATCAAACCAGGCACCTACGATGCTGTGTATCCTAAAAAATAAAAGATGTAAGAGTGTTTTTTTTCTTGCCACCATGTAATTCAATATGCTTTAGAAACACAAGACAGGTACGCAAAGTGACATGGTGGCATTATGGCAGCATGGCACACCTGTACACGTTGTTCACTGTGTCTGATGCCAGATATAAAATGATGATCTGTGTGAGTTTGTGATCCAGCAGGTGCTCATGCACCTGCCTCAACTAGTCCAATCTCTAGTCTCATTTGTGAAACTCGCCCTCAGGCACATCTTGATTCAATCTGGTCATCTGACACTGATGTGTTTCAACTTTCTTTAACTTGTTCATGTCTTTGAAGGTTTGCACTTTTAGATTTTTTTGCTAAATTAAAGATAGCTGCTTTGTATTTTATTTCTTCTAGATTTTTTTGTGTTTTTGACTCTTTTTCCCCCCCCCCCTTTGTAATTCTGCAGACTTTTTCACAAAAAATGCCTATAACCTAACTAGGCATATGCTTACATAAAAGGTGCATTTGTTAGAGAGCTTTTTGAAAATATTTTTTCATTCTTTTTTTTACGTTTCCGTATTTATGCAATAATTTTGGCCCATTTAACTTGGAAAAATAAATTCCTTGAGTTAATTTTTAGTTGTTTAATTATATACCATTTAAGTTAATCTGTTTTAGAGTTTGAAAATGCACATGCACAAGACTTTTGGCACAGGGGTAATTAGGTTTGCTTCTGCAAAACAGTTAACATTTGATGGGCTGCCTACCCATCAAATAGTACTTTATAGAGTGCAATCTTTGTAGTCAAATCACAGCTTTGCATGACAAGGAGCAGCAACAACAATGTTGAACTCCTCTGTGGAGTGAAACCACAGACTGAAAGAGGCTGGTAGCTCAGCAGTTGTATAATAAACTGACTTAACAGCTTAATAAAATTAAGGGTGAACGCTCAGGTATTTAAAGTCTCCCCTAAAGATTACAAATAAAAAAAATATTCACTATCAGCTTTTGTTTTCTATTTATTTTCTCATTGGCTAATGATGTCTTCCTTGTGCCTTGTGCAGCCACATCAACCAGAAGACCCAGTTTGAGAATCCAGTAATGGAAGCTAAGAAGAAGATGAGCATAGACACGCCCATCACAGTACGACCACCTGGACCCACAGGTAAAAGCACACCTGAGAAAACTGCAGACTTATTTTCCTCTCTGTGTCTCAATAAAAAATAATCTGCAGTGGAGCAATTCAGTTATTTAATTGTGACTTTTGTTTTCATCCATCCATTTTCTTCCACTTATTCGGGGTCGGGTCATGGGGGTAGCAGCTTAAGTAGGGAGGCCCAGACTTCCCTCTCCCCAGCCACTTGGTCCAGCTCCTCCGGGAGAATCCCGAGGCGGTCCCAGGCCAGCCGAGAAACATAGTCCCTCCAGCATGTCCTGGGTCTTCCTATGGGTAGGAACATAGATCGATTGGTAAATTGAGAGGTTTGCCTTTTGACTCAGCTCTCTTCACCACGACAGACCTGTACAGCGCCCGCTTCACTGCAGATGCTGCACCTATCCGCCTATCGATCTCACGCTCCATTTTTCCCTCATTCGTGAACAAGACCCCAAGATACTTGACCTCCTCCACTTGAGGTAGGACCTCCTCCCTGACCCAGAGAGGGCACTCTACCCTTTTCTGGCTCAAGACCATGGCCTCTGATTTGGTGGAACTGATCTTCATCCCGGCTGTGTCGCACTCGGCTACGAACGGCTATTGATCATGACAAATTATTCTATTATCTATGGTACATTTGATGGTTATGTACCCATTCTTGGTGTTTTGGCATTGAATATGAGCCTGATTGAGCACTCAGCCAGACCTCTGCTCTGCATTTCTATACACAAGATATGTCTTGTTGTGTGTTCAGACCGTTTTATTTCTGTAACTTGGTGTAAATGATTGGTCATTTGAGCTACAACAGCTATTTTGTTGGGTCAGACAATAGAAGCTATGATTTACTTCCCACATGTATCAGTGAACTTGGGTCAGCTACCTTCCTGATGCTGTTCAGGAAAGTTTCCTTGTTCATACATTTAATATGTCTCTACCTCTGCAGACCATAGTTCTCCCAGAGACCAAGGTTATATTCATTTCTTGAAGTGAGAACGCCCTTTTCTGTCCAGCACCCTCTCATTTTTGTCATTCTGTAATACCAGTGATTGGCAAATACAAACTACTACAGCATTGTCATATCTAACTACTGTGAAATCAATACTTGGGCATACATCTGTAAAAACTCAACTTCTATGTAGTGAAGAATGTGTGCAGTGAAGATGGGTATATTTGTTTGTGCATTCACTTTGTAAGATACACCTTACTCTTAAATGGTAAACGGTAAATGGACTGAATAGCACCTTTCTATCTATTCAAGATACACAAAGCTCTTTACAACGCAACCTGTGTCCTCATTTACCCAACCACACAGCACTCTACTAGATCTATACAAAGCTAGTCTGAATCTGTAAAGACTAATCAGTGCTTTAGATCACATTCATACACTGATGGGACACACATCGGAGGCAATGAGGGCTTCAGTGTCTTGCTCAGGGACACTTCGGCATGTGACTGTTGTCATTTTAATGACTTTATTAAATAATCTGTTAAATTCACTATTCTCTTCCTTGCACGGTCACTCAGTTTATAAAGATGGTCTGCTCTTGGTAGATCTACACTTGTTCCATATTCCTTCCAACTCTTGATTTAACAGAACTCCTGAGGACTTTAAAGACCTTGGATCTCCTTTTGTATCCATCCCATGATTATGATTTCCTGATTTCAGCCAATGGTAATGATCATACCTTAGATATATTTGGTACAAATGTCCAGTAGACAATGTAGTTTAGATGAATCAGTCATATCTTACAGTTTGTGACACCAATGAGGCAGATTTATGAGAAGAGAAAGGAATCTGTAAAACGTGACTGTAGGCTAAAAAGGAACATTCAAAAGTTCCAAAACTCTGTTCTATGTCGTATAAGCTTCGCCCTTTAAGGCCTTCGCTTTAGTGGTTTATCCCGTTATGCAGAGCATAAGCACTGAAAAAATTAGTCCACGCCCACCTGCTGTGTGGGCCCCACCCGGTCCGTATAAATAACGTTAAGAGCGGGAAATCGGCTCCCATTTTTTCTTCAGCGAGCTAAAAATAGCACTGTCAGAAGAACAAAGAGGATAAATTGTGTAAATGACCAACCTTTGTGAAGGATGCTTGGCCCGGCAGTCGACCTCCGGTCGTCCGGTGAGTTCTCCTCCCCGAGGAGAAGATGACAGCAGTCTTATTCCAAGGTAAGCGCCGGGGAACATTTCCCAGTGACAGGTCACTACACGCTGGACAACGCCATCTTGTATTTTTTCCTCTTATCGCCGACCCTCGGGGCGAACCGGATGGTTCCTCCGGGGCAAGGCGTGCTCAGCTGCAGCCCCGCTGCTCATTCCCTCCTGGGGAGCGTAGTGTCGGTGGAGGGGGGCTGAGTGAATGCTCACCCCATCCCACCTCGTTTTTTTCGCATCGGCGATCACACCGCTCCCGGCCGACGGCGCCCCCCAGGGTTTGCCCGGCGTAACCCAGGAGGAGGCTGACATGAAAGGACCCCTTTTTACGTCCTACGCCTTTTCCCGCCAGTTCGGATGATCCGGCGGGAAGGTTGTTTACTGACTCCATTCCGGCTCACCGTCTTGATCCATATGGCCTCGTGTTCCCAACAGGACGTCCTACGGCGAGGCCACAGACGGGTTTTTTCCTGGTAGATTGGGGGAGCCGGTCTCCACAGTCCGCACCCATCTCCAGAGCAGGGTTCACTGAGCGGAAAGTCCCTCCGTGCCCTCTGGAGCCGAGCCTGATGGAGGCTCCATGGGAGTAAGATGTTCGAGGTGGACCAGCGTCCCGTGCCTCCCGTTAGCATAACCGAGACGGTGACATCGCTCTCCAACTGAGCTCATCAGCATGTGTTCCACGGCCGCAGCGAACAACACGTTACGCTGTTGGCGTACACGTTCAGAGGCGAGAAGAGACGGTGGCCCTCTCTCGTAGCAGCTGCTTGCTAACGACGCTGCCGGCCCCTGCAGTACGCTCAGCCTACAGGGCAGCTGACGTCATCACCAACCGGTGCGCCTCTTCGCGGTCTGCCGTCCCACAGCGCAGCCGGAGAACGAGGTCCAGAGGTTCTTTCCTGGCTCGCCACTCCACCTTCCTCTCAGGAGAGACGCAGGAGTTTTGCTGGTGATCCTCCTTTCATCAGCGAGAGATCATTTCAAGCTGCTCCACGGCTGCTCTACGCCCCCCCAGCTCTGCTACGCCAGCCCCTCCCGTCAGACGTCCCCGGCATCCGGAAGTTCATTTTTTTTCCCGGACTTCGCCAACAGGGGGCCCTCCAGGCTAACAAACAGAGCTCAACGAAGGTAAACAGGTGTCGTTTTTGGCTGGAGGTGTGTTGATGACACTGCGAATAACATCATTTTATGATGAAGTGTCCTTTAGCCAGACTGTCAGCATGGTTATCTGACAAGCGGCCCCATCACCCACACTCATCACGAATGAGCCTTTTAAGGTTGTTTTTCATTCACTGTCAGCGATGCCGATGCGCGCCCCCGCGGCAGGAAGGCGCGCACGCAGCTCTCAACAACCGCCGTTCACGTCAACGTTCACGTGAGATCACGGTACGAGCTCAGCAACGTATTTCGCTTATCGGCAGAAACGACACAAGTTTTGTCATTGCAGTGATGTCAAACGCGCGCTCCCGCGGCGTTAGCAGTTTCACAGCGGCTCTGCCCCCTTTTATCCTCGAAGAAGGTTTTCTGAAGTAATACTGCAGCTCATGGAATCATTCTGAAGTTCACATGACTTGCAGCCAAGAATGAACGTGTTTTATGCAGACCGAGTCAGTGGTAGTCTCGCTTCACCGATGCCACGCACGGCTTCCTGACCGCTCCAGTGCCAACGCGCGCTCCCGCGGCGTCAGCAGCTCCACAAGCCTCACAGCGGCTTAGCTCATACATCCTCAAAGAAGGGGTTTTTTGTCTGAATTAATATTGCAGCTCGTGGAATCATTCTAAGCTCACGTGATTCGCAGCAAACAATGAACGTGTTCTGCAGACCGAGCCAGTGGTAACCCAGTGCCAACGCGCGCCCCGCAGCAATCCTGGTGTAAGCGTCGCATGAGGACGCACACACACAACCCTTCAGGGCGTGTCAGCTCATATGTGAACCTGCTCCCGAGTGTTACACGGTGCAGCTGCACACAGCATAAACAAAGCTGTTTTTTCCCGCAGCAATACACAACGTCTTGCGCTCTCACTCAGCGCGCTCCAGTTCACATCAGCATGTATGCGAGTTTCACAGCATAATGCGTGCTCGTTTTATAACTTATAAACGGGTGGCAATGAACGCGCGTTTCCCAGAGGGATGGGCGAACCGTTTTCATCCGGGACTCACGCTGCAGTTCAGCTAAAACCCCGATGTGGGGGAACCCTGTGACGTTTTTTCTGTCATTTATGAACAGATCTCGTCCCCTCTAGCAGAAGCTCTGGAAATTCTGTTTTAAATGTAATTTCTAGAGCCTCAGATGGAGAGGAAACACCAGTTCTCTCTTATCACTTCCTGATCCAAACGAACTGGAAAGATGAGATTTATTTGAGATTGTTAATTTTCTGAGCTGTGAGAACAACACTCCATTTTAATTATGCATTATCTGGACACCTGTGGCTGCTGAGCAGCTTGTTCAGACAGGTGGCAGCAGTGCAATTCACGTGAATGGTTGAGTGATATCAGCTGTTTTCTGTCAGCAGACCTACGTCACACACATTTAACAAGCTGTGGGGGCGCTGTGCTCCACACAGCAGCTGTTTTAAATGTTTTTTGGAGTGTCGCACGGGATCCTTGAATGTGACTCAACACTGACCTTGAGCTGCAGAATCATCAGGGGTTTTGATTCTCAGACAACAAGCGTCTGTCGCATACATACTAACAGGAAATGTATGCATTTTTTCAACCCATGTGCCACATTGTGAGACAGATACTGTGTGGGCACATCCAATCCGCTCTCCATTTGGAGTGGGTACATCGCATGTATCCCACCCAGAGCTAAGGCTCAGACACGGTAGAATCCTGCCAACGTCTGCTGATGTGT